TGCGCAGAGTAAAATGACTGTTTTTCCTTTTCATATTGTTGACGATCAATCCTTTCCATATGATTCAATCACTTATCCTGGACTGAGCGGTAGAGGAGCATTCGATCTAAATCATATCTATTCCCAAGCTGACATCACTGAATTACTTGAATTCGCTCGACAACGCGGTATTCGAGTTTTTATTGAATTCGATTCACCAGGTTCGAATAGAAACCATTGAAAAAGAAAATTTCATTTAGAATATTTTAGCTCACAGTCGATCATGGGGTCGTGCATATGACATACTGACCAAATGTTATAGTGGAGAACAGCCGAATCATAAACAGGGACCTATGGATCCCAGTCGAAATACGACATTTGAATTTCTTAAAAACTTTTTCTATGAAGTCGCTCAGATTTTTCCCGATCGTTATGTTCACTTGGGCGCCGATGAAGTCTATTTTGATTGTTGGTAAGATTCGTTCATATGTTTTTCACATTGATTTTATAACCATTGAAATTTTCTTCTAAAGGAAAAGCAATCCGAACATTACTCAATTCATGCATCAGATGGAGTTCGGTACAGATTACTCTTTATTAGAGCAGTACTTTATGCGAAGGTAAGTCTACAGAATAAAAAAATTCTTTCAAATGATAGCTACGAATAGACTAATTGATATTGTAAATGCAACTGGAAAGAGTTATGCCGTTTGGCAAGACATCATTGATAATAATGTCACCTTGCAAGCGGATACTGTTGTTCAAGTTTGGAAGGTTAGCTAGAAAGTTAAATAAAAGAAACGAAGAGTAGTCTTTTTTTTTCGTAGGAGCCGTATCCAGATGAAATGACTCGTGTGACAAAGCTTGGCTATCGAACCCTTCTATCATCATGTTGGTATGTATAATAAGAATTGTATAAATGAACTTCAAATCTTTTCAATATAACTCGACAGAACATTTGAAGTTGATATTCATATATTGATTATGCACAATGCAAAAGTGCAAATAATTTAATTCTTGTTTAAAATAGGTATTTGAACTATATTTCATATGGTGAAGATTGGCACAAATATTATATGTGTGATCCACTTAATTTTACAGGTAGGTTTATAAAAAAAATTGAATTATAATCAATGATAATTGTTTTTTCGTTCAGGAACCGAAGAGCAAAAGAAATTGGTCATGGGTGGTGAAGCTTGTATGTGGGGTGGTGAGTTTCACTGTACAAATTGTTCAACTAATGTCTAGTACCAAAGAATGACTAAGCTTTTAACTCGATATGAACTGTAAGAGTACTGTCTGAATTGGCAAAGTTCTATATTCGAATTTGAACTGGACTCAATTGTGATCATTCTTTGATGGCTCAGGACAAGTAAAATTTGTAAAAACTTTCACCTACCCTCATTCCCAGTCATAGGATGAGAGATTTAGATGAGTGTAAAAACTAGCCTTTGGAAAGGATGACGAGTTTTAAAGTCTTTTTCAGCCCTCATTTATGTAGTTCTGTTTTGATTATAGAATTTGTCGATTCGACCAACGTTATATCAACGACATGGCCTCGAGCATCAGCAGCTGCCGAACGTTTGTGGTCGTCGGCAGATGTGAATGATGTAAAAGAAGCAATTCCTCGACTTGAAGAACATCGCTGCCGGTATTTACGACGAGGAATTCCGGCTGCACCAGTCAATGGACCCAGCTACTGTCGAACTGAATATAATGACTGAAACTTCATTTCATTTTCGTCTATTCAAAGATTATAGTTTTTGTGCTTATATGTATCGTTTTCAACGCATTAATCAAAAGTATTATTGAATAGATTCAAAGTTACTTTGATTCTATGAACTTGGATTACAAAGAGATTAAGAAACATATAATGAGAAAACCAGACACTGCTTATATACAGTGTTTGCACGGAAAACCGAAATGCAACAGGTTGATATTCATGAAACGAATGTTAAATTTGATAGGAAACTTTACGAACGATAAGATACAATCAAAAAATGATTTAGAGTCACTGTGAATAAAAAATTCTATTCGTTAAAGATAAATAATTGACGTCTGTAATCAAGATTTTTCAAGAATTCATTTATACCTTGAAAATTATTTTGTCTATGCCAATACATCCAGATGAAATTCGTTTGCATTTAGTATAAGAAATTATTGAAGTATGTTTCTTTATTAGTGTTGAGTTTCGATATCTTATAATAATTGTATTCATATTATTCTTTCAATCGGTAGTTATCGCAAGATGAAAGGGAAATATTAGAGAGACCTGCGGAGTCAATTTTTTTTCATTCCGAAAACCGACTCCGACTCCGATTCCGAAATCTTTCTTTTTACGACTCCGGTTTCAACTCCAATTCCGAAAATTTTTATTTTTTGACTCCGATTTCGACTCCGAAAAACTCAGAAATTTTTTAACAATGTCATTTAAAAATAAAACGTTCTCAGCAGCCAAAGGACTCTTTAATGACCTAACATGCGCACGTTTTACACTAAAAATCTCAAGTTTCTCTTTAAAAAAAAACAGTTTATGGATGTTCTTTATCTAAACAAGGAAGAACTAATGATGGAGATAGTCGTAGTACTTTGAATGACATTAATATATCTTTTTTGACTAATGTTGTTATGTTTTCATCTCACTTGATCATTCGAGTG